AACTGATAACTGAAGTCGAATAGGAGTTAGTCAGGTGAAGAAGACAAGGAAGAGAGTTCCAGGCAGAGGGAAGAGGATGAAGAAAAGAAGACGTTAATATAGTTGAAGGACTGAGTGAAAGCCAGCGTGGTGGAGATATACTGAGTGAGGAGGAGAGCAGCGTGAGATGAGACTGGAGACGTGACTGGTCCAGGTACTGCCATACCTTGCAGGCTAAGGCAGGGAGCCCAGACTTCATCCACAGAGCAGTGCCTAGTGTCCTGGGGCCTTCCAGGCCTGATGGGACCCCTCTGTTACATGTTTCCATGCCTTTTGTACTTTCATGTGGTAGCATTTATTCTGGCTGGAATTGAACACATACAGTTGGCTTTTCATGTGGCAGTTGATCTCTATGAGGCTTAGAGCAAGGGTTCACTGAGGAGGCATTCACCGTGATCCAGGTATCATACGTGGGGGCTGGGCTGGGAGGGAGCAATAGAGACGACACTCACTGGACAACTCAGGCATCAGTTTCAGAAGAGGTTTTGGTGATGATTTGGCCGTACAGGGTGTGGGAAGGGAGGTGTCCAGGTTAACAAGAAAAGGAGCTGGTTTGAAGGGGCTGATGTTGGGTTCACTTTTGAAGATGTTGCCTTGGAGATGATTAAGACCATGGAATGGGACTCTCCAGAGGGCAGGCGACCGTGGGCCCAGCACAGATCAGTCTGAGAGCTTATTGGAGACAGTCCTGTGGCATGTGACAGTTACTTGGAGTTGTGGGAATGTGGACATCATCATTAAGGACAGAAGATGATGAGGACTGTGTCTTACAGCAGTCCGTTGGAAATGTCAGCAAATTGGGGAGACTCAGTCCAAGGGAGAAAAGGAATAAGTAGTGTCAGGTTCTAGCCAAGTGGGATTTCCACAGAGAGATGTGTATTCCATGGTCTCATCTTTGGCTTGCTTTATCTTTCGACTAGAGCCTACTTCTTTATGCTTTGATTTCTAGGTGCTTATGTTTCACTCTTTATCCCTTTTATGGAAACTGAGTATTGGCTAATGTGTCTTGACATTAGAAAACAGAAGTAGCAGGGCTCTCGGAAGGGCCTGTTTCAAACTCTGGAGGGTGCCTTGGGCACAGTGTACAGTGAACGGAGCCTCCTGGTTGTGCACAGTGCACGTCTATGCCCTTAATGGATCACCTCTGAAGAGCTTTGGAAGGCTTACCAATCAGGATGAGTGGCTATCGATTCTCTCCGTGGACCCTGGAGGGAGTACGTAGATGGTGAGGGCAGGGACACATTAACTTTGGCTTTTTGGCAGCTCAGGTTCTGCTTTGACAGTGCCAACAACTGCACAGCACTCACCTGCTTTCCTACTGTTTTTATCCCTGCTTCTTCCTGACCTTTCCCATTGTCCTTAATGGTAGCTTGACTGGAGTTGTAGGGAAGCTGCCACTGTCCCTGGTGAGGGAGGCCTGGACACGTTTTATATCTCCTCCCCTTCACCTCAGGAGTCCGGTTTGATCTGCCCAAAGGAAAATGAAATGATGTTCAGAAATTCCTTCTAGGTCCATTTTTAAATTTGCTACTAAAGGACAGCCTTGTCTTCAGGAAAGGGCATTGGAGTCCTGCAGGGGGAGGTGACACTCTGCAGCTGGTTCAGACACCTGCCCGCATCCGTCATCGAGTTCCAGCCAGCACTGCGGACACTTGCACATCCCATCAGCCAGGAATACCTGAGAGACACACTGCAGAAGTGGATCCACATGTAAGTAAGGAGGCATTTCCCTGAGGCAGGCAGAGACAACCGTGTAGCCTCGTATGTGGCCGCAGGGTCACTGAGGGGAGCAGAAAAGCCCAATCTCTGAGGTGTCATGCCGAATGCCAGCTGTTCACTCTGGTCCATGGCGGCCATCATGGCCATCAGCACCTGCTCAGGGAGATTCAGGAGGGAATTTGTGTTTCCAAATATTATGTACAAGAATTGATATTTTTCTTTGTTTTTATTTAATGCGTTGATTTCTGAGGCCATTCTATGGGGCTCAAAACTTCCATATGTCCTCAGGGAAGCAGGGCTGGTCAAAGGCTACAGACTCCACACCCTAGTGCAGTGAGAAATGCTCTGGATTGACGTAGATCTATAAGTATAAGCACACTGAGATATATACACACATATACATGTATTTATGTTATGCTTAATATGTATTTATTATCTATATTTATAGTTACATTTATTTATTTATTTGTTTGTTTGTGAGGTTTCTGCTATAGGGTGCATGTGCTTGCCAAAAAGACAGAAACAGAAAGTGAGAAATCACCCCAGTCTCTCCTCTGTTCTCCACTCGGAGTCTTGGGCACGCACACACACGTGCCTGGTGTGAGTTTAAGCCACCGGGTCCAGGACTTGAAATGTGGTCAGCAACATGGGAGTCCAGCAACATAGCCGTTACGCCAACTGTTGGTCCCTATGTGTATATTTATATATTTATCAGCATGCTCATAGCTCTACATGAGAGAGAGAAAGGGAAACTTTATATATGGGGACCTAAGTAAGAGGTTTTTAAAATGTAGTCCTGCTGTTTTTCTCAGGAAGGTGTGAAAGCCACAAAACGGAGTCCAGGGAAATTATTTTGTTGCAGGTGTAATGAAGATATTAAAAACGGGATCACCCACCTGTTACTGTACGTGAAGAGTGTGAGAGGTCTCGCAGGGATCCGCGATGCCATCTGGGAGTTACTTACCAGTGAGTCTGCCAGTCACAGCTGGGATGTGATATGTCGGCGACTTCTAGAAAAGCCACTCCTGTTCTGGGAGGATATGATGCAGCAACTGTTCCTTGACCGATTACAGGTGAGGTGGAAAATCACTCAGTCCACGTGTTTACAGCCAATCCTAGTAGGGATTTTTGACTGTCTTGGGAGACTCCTATCATTCTGGAGCGTTCCTGCTCTGCTTGCTAATGGGTCCAGATTTTTCTAGCACAGAAAAGACAGCAGGCCTCTGCCCACTGGTCAAAGATGTGCCCATGTCTGTCAGCAGTGGTTTCTACCAATACCATGTGGCCTTCCTGAATGTGGTGGTGAACATTCTGAGTGCTAGGATCTGTTATCATTGGGCACTCGGGTCTTGAGGTTTCCTTCATGGGCTATGATCAGAACTGTTCTCTGAATCTCTTTTAGACTCTGACAAAAGAAGGCTTTGACTCCATCTCCAGCAGCTGCAAAGAGCTCCTGGTGTCAGCTTTGCAGGAACTTGAAAGCAGCACTAGCAACTCCACTTCAAATAAGCATGTCCACTTTGAGCAGAACATGTCCCTGTTCCTGTGGTCGGAGAGTCCCAGTGACCTTCCTTCTGATGCAGCCTGGGTCAGTGTGGCGAGCCGGGGCCAGTTGGCCAGCAGTGGCCTCTCCATGAAAGCTCACGCTGTTAGCCCCTGCGTGCAGAGCTTCTGCTCTGCCCTGGATTCCCAGCTAAAAGTTAAACTCGATGACCTCCTGGCTTACCTGCCCTCCGAGGACTCACCGAAGGATGTGCCCTCTGTGTTGGCCAGGAGCTCTGCCTTTGACAAGTACGCCGATGCTGGGACCGTGCAGGACGTGCTGCGCACCCACTCGGCAGCATGCATCCAGCACATCACTGACTGCATCCGAGCACAGCTGCAGAGCATCGAGGAAGCCGTGCAGGGGCAACAGGATGCCCTCAGTGGAGCCAGGCTGCATGCAGTCCTCTTCATGGCCAGGCTCTGCCAGTCTCTGGGAGAACTGTGCCCCCACCTGAAGCAGTGCATCTCTGGAAAATCCAGTAGCTCTGAGAAACCAGCCAGAGAGTCAAGGGCTCTGAAGAAACAGGGGAAAGGGAAAACCCAGGAAATCATTCCTGTACAGGCCAGGTGGCAGGAAGTGAAGGAAGTGCTCCTGCAGCAGAGTGTACTGGGCTACCGAGTGTGGAGCTCTGCCGTCGTGAAAGTGAGTGGTGGAACTTCTCCCTGTTTTGCCCAACTTTTATCATAAGTCTAGTCTTGCCAACCTCCATAAGACCTTGGACTCGTCCAAGGATGTGCCCTCTGTGTAATAGTAATTCTTACTTCATATAGGTATCTTGACTTTCTCTCTGCCAAATGGCTCAGTGTAAAACCATTTCCATTCATTTCTAGCTTAGATCTTATAGCAGAAAACCTGCCTTTTTTCTTCCATGAGAGTGACTCTCTGCCTGTTCAAGGGTCTATATTTCGTAAATGCTATATTCTCTGTCGTCTCCACCAGTCTTGTAAGGACTGACATTTGATATTTATAGGGTAGTTAGCAACAAAATTCTCATGATACCAATAATTACCCAAGAGTGATTATACTAGTAGCTTTTTTTTTTTCCTTTATAAGAGACAGGGTCTTGCTGTGTTTCCCAGACTGGCCTCAAACTCACAATCCTCCAGCCACACCCTTGGGAGTAGCTTGGGCTGTAGGTGCACACCAACACGTCCAGCTACACTGGTTGTGTGAGACCAACATGACAGTAATCTAGGTGCTTATATGGATATTTGCCTTTTATTACCAGGTTTTGATTCATGGATTCACCCGGTCGTTGCTTTTAGATGATGCTGGCTCAGTTCTGGCCACGGCCACCAACTGGGATGAACTAGAAATCCAGGAGGAGACAGAGTCTGGCGGCAGTGTCACATCCAGGATCCGGCTCCCTGTACAGGTAAGCAAGTCCCACCGATACAGGGACCGTGCACTGGGAATGCTGCTGCTGCTGCTCTGTGGAAAGGAGAAAAGTTTAGAAAACCATTCAACATGTGACTTCTAAGGAATAGCTAAAAGTAACAGTTATCACTTTTTTTTTTTTTTTTTTGAGAGATTTTCACTGTAGGGCGCGTGCGCTCGCCAGACAGACAAAGAGAGACATAGAGACAGAAAGCGAGAAATCACCCCCCAGGGGGGAGGGTCACGCCGCAATCCCTTCTCCTCCATTCTCCTCTCGGGATCTTGGGCACGCACGCACACGCGCCCGGCGTGAGTTTTAAGCCACCGGGTCCAGGACACGAACCACGGTCGACTACGTGGGAGTCCAGCGACATAGCCATTACGCTAACTGCTGGTTCCCAACAGTTATCACTTTTTACCATGGGGGCATAGTAGATGCAGGGCCAAGTACATAGACTGTTCCAGAAGTCAGGGAGGGAGTCTCTTCTTTTGTAGCAAGGCTCTGTGCTAATTAGAAAATGAACAATCTTCCCTAAAGTACATACACCAGCACCCACCAAGCCAGCCCTAGCCCACAGGGGATGATACCAAATTGTGCTAAACAGAGGGTTGTATCTGCTATGTGGTCTGCTTGTGAGGGGGTTTGACCAGAGATCAGGGTTCTCGCCTATAGGCTCGGTAAGAATAAATGGATCTCCTTTTCTGCATGTCATTGAATTGGAGCAGGTTGGCAACACAACAGTCTTTTTTCTTCTTTCAGCCATCCTGGTATGTACAGTCCTTCCTGTTTAGCTTATGTCAGGAAATTAATCGGGTTGGAGGCCATGCCTTGCCAAAAGTGACTCTGCAAGAGATGCTAAAAAACTGTATGGTTCAAGTAATAGCTGCCTACGAGAAGCTTTCAGAAGAGACACAGGTGAAGGTAGGTGCTTCAATGTTTTCCCTTTATAAAGGACAAGAGCCTTAGGTTTTTCTTGGGTTTGGGCAGTTCACATTAAGGAACTCAAGGTAAGGATCAGGCAGCCCAGGCATTAGATCCTAAAAGACGCTATAATTAGAGTGGCTTCCAGCTCTGTTTAATTACAGCCATCCACAAGGATCAAACAGGGCTTCACTAAGAAAGCAGTTCTTGCAAGTGGGAAGAAGGAAAACTTCAGAATAAGAAAAGGCCTGGGTTCCAACCCCATCACTGCCTCCTGCTCACCATGTGCTTGCGGCAAATTGTTCAAACCTGTTTCCTTAGGATCAGGTGTGATCATGTGGATCAATGGCTCGCTGATTTCCTCACCTGTAAAATGGAGACACCCCATTCCTTAGGGGAGACTGAGGAAGTGACAGTTAAAGTGACAGGTGGCACCATGGAGGCAGTCTGCTCCTCTCTCACCTCCGTGGGGCATTCCGGTCTTGGTAACAAATCTAAGACGGGACCAGTCCTGATTTTGAAGATAATTAAGACCTCTCTCCTAAGCTTCCTCAAAACACCTCTCCTTCATGCAGGAAACTTTGTTGTTTATAGAATGACCATCCACAGCACCAAAAACTTTTTTTAAAAAAGATTTTTCCATATGGTGTGTGCACTCATCAGAGAGTAACGGAGAGAGACAGAGGGAAAGTGAAAAATCACGCCACCCACCCCCAGGGGGGGCATGGCCACACTGCAGTCCCCTCTTCCAGCCTCCTCTCAGGATTTTGGGCTAGCACTCACATGTACCTGGTGTGATTCTCAAGCTGCAGGTCTGGGATTCACCATAATCGGCCATGTGGGAGTCTAGCACCTTAACCAGCACACCACCTACTGGCCCACAGAAACCTTTTTATTTGCTTAAAATTTATTTATCACTTTTTAAAATTTGCTACAGGGCACATGCACTCACGAGAGAGAGTGCTGCTAGCTCCTGGACCCAAACCGTAGTCAGCCATGGGGGAGTCCAGTGCCTTAACCACCATGCCACCTGCTGGCCCTGGAGAAACCGGTCTTTCAGGGCTCTGTTTCTCCCTTGCTGTTCGGTTGTTTGTTTTGCTTAAGACCGAGTTTCTTTTCTTTCTTTTGGAGAGGTTTTTTTGCTACAGGGCGCGTGCGCTCGCTCGCCACACAGAGAGAGACATAGAGACAGAAAGCGAGAAATCACCCCCCGGGGGGATGGTCACGCCGCAATGCCTTCTCCTCCATTCTCCTCTCGGGATCTTGGGCACGCATGCACACGTGCCCAGCGTGAGTTTTAAGCCACCGGGTCCAGGACGCGAACCGCGGTCGACTACGTGGGAGTCCAGCGACATAGCCATTACTCTAACTGCTGGTTCCCAAGACCGAGTTTCTAACAATCTGTTCTGTAGTGAGATTAGACTGCCCTATGTGTATACACCAAGCCATGTCAGCCAAATATGGAACTGTGGACTATGTTCACGTAACAAGTCATCTCTGCTAATGAGCAGGCCGGGAATTCATTTGCAGAAAGAAGGTGCATTCCCGATAACCCAGAACCGGGCGCTGCAGCTCCTGTACGACCTGCGGTATCTCAGCATCGTTCTGGCAACCAAGGGCGAGGAGGGCAAGAGCGGCCGGAGCAAGCCCGACTCCAGGTGTCGTGTTGGCCCCCTTCTCTACCTGCCTTACTCCAGCCTCACAAACACGCAGCCCCTTTGCTGGGAGCCACCAGAGAGGGGCTGCCTCTTTCTGCACGTTCATTGTGTTTATTTTAAATAGTTTAAGTGCTCATATCACCAGTGTTACATAGCCACCTGCTGGATAAATTCCATGGGCAAGGGAAGGAGGTGGAATCTATCCCTCTCTTCAGCCTCAACTGGGTGGGGGGTATAATTTGAGCTCTTCATGCCCTTCCTAAAAACAGAACATGGGAAGGAATGGACTTCACTTAAGACATCGTGTCAGGCTGAAACTCTCTGAGATGATCTGTGGAAAGAACAAAGGTTTTAGAAAGTCATTCATCATATAACTTCTAAGGAGTAGCTGAAAGTACTATTTACTTCTCCCTACCTGGGGAATAGGAGATGTAGAGCTAAGTAAATGACAGACTGTTCATGTGCTCAGTGTTAATCCAGAGAATGAGCCACTTTCCCTAAAGTGAACACACCTGCCAAGCTACCTTTAGGCCCCTCAGCAGGTCCCCTAAGCATGACCATCAGTGATGAGTATACTAAGCCAGCAGTCAAGAATAAGACCTATAGCTTCAAGACTTGTGATGCTAATTCTTCTTCCAGAATCGAGAAAGTGACTGACCACCTGGAATCACTCATTGATCCATTTGACCTGGATGTCTTCATGCCACACCTCAACAGCAACCTTAATCGCCTCGTGCAGCGAACTTCTGTAAGTCAAGTCCAAAGCTTGCTCAATGTGAATTAAGCACCACAGACTCAAAATACTAAATGAACCTGCTCTACCACCTAACACTACAGGATGCAGTGTTGGGAGAGGGTAAGAACCAAAGAGCTAAGTGTAGTTTAGGGGCTAAAGAGGACTACATAAAATCACACACAGTGGCAACAATGATCTGCTCCCTTCACTTGTAGATAAAGATTATTAAGGTTTTATCCAGGGCTAAGAGAAATAGATACATGCCTACGACATTCTGACCTGTGGGTGGTGATAAATAATTCTGAGGACCAGCAGATGGTGTAATGACTATGTCACTGGAGTTCCACCATGGTTCCAGTACTGGACCTGGTGGCTTTTAAAACTCACACTGGGCATGTAGGCATGCATGCCGAAAATCCCAAGAGGAGAATGGAGAAGAGACTGTGTAATAGCTATCTCCCCTGGGGAGTGATTTCTTGCTTTCTGTCTCTCTCTGGTGAGCACATGGGCCCTATAGCAAAAAATCTCTTTAAAAAAAATTCTGAAGGGAACCAGCAGTTAGCGTAATGGCTATGTCGCTGGATTCCCATGTAGTCGACCGCGGTTCGTGTCCCGGACCCGGTGGCTTAAAACTCACGCCGGGCGCGTGTGCGTGCGTGCCCAAGATCCCGAGAGGAGAATGGAGGAGAAGGGATTGCGGCGTGACCATCCCCCCTGGGGGGTGATTTCTCGCTTTCTGTCTCCGGGCGCCGCCTCCCTGCGGGGAAAATCTCGAAAAAAAAAAAAAAAAAAAATTCTGAAGCATTATCATGCTCAAAAGTTCATTCTCCGTGGTTCACGTCCCGGACCCAGTGGCTTAAAACTCACGCTGGGCGCGTGTGCGTGCGTGCCCAAGATCCCGAGAGGAGAATGGAGAAGGGATTGCGGCGTGACCATCCCCTCTGGGGGGTGATTTCTCGCTTTCTGTCTCTGTCTGTCTGGTGAGCGCACGTGCCCTATAGCAAAATAAAAACTCTCCAAAAAAAAAAAAAAAAGTTCATTCTCCAAAATGATGATTAGAAATACTGTACTGAGGGGCCAATAGGTGGTGTAGTGGTTAAGGTGCTGGACTCCCATGTGGCAGACCTTGGGCCAAGTCCTGGATCTGGTGGCTTCAAACACGCTGGGCATGTGTGCATGCATACCCAAAATCCGGAGGGAATGGAGAAGGGATTACAACATTGCCATCCCCTATTGGGGGCGATTTCTTGGTTTTTATCTCTAGTAAGCATACACATCCCAAAGCAAGAATCTCTCAAAAAAATAATTGATTACTAACAGAAGTACTTTTCTTTTACTGACAAAACCCCAGCATTTTATTGTGCCCCTTGTCTTGTCTGTCAGGTTCTATTTGGACTGGTCACTGGTACGGAGAACCAGTTCACTCCAAGGAGCAGTACCTTCAACTCCCAGGAGGCCCATAACATACTACCACTGGCATCGAGTCAGATCAGGTAAATGACCTCAGAGGTTTTTGCTCGGTCCCAAAACTGCCTGTTCATACTACAGAAATTCCCTTCTCTTGTCTTGGAGGTTTGGACTTCTTCCACTGAGCATGACAAGCACTCGAAAGGCGAAATCAACCAGCAGAAGTGTCGAAACAAAAGCCCAGGTAAGTGCCATGAGCAAGAGGGTCATCCCTGCTGATCCTGTCCCTTTTCCCACCACGCCACCTGGTTAGCTGCCCTTGTAACAACTGGTAAAGAACTGAACGACGAAACACACTGATGCTGCTTTTAATGGCGGCGCAATGGAGAAGTACAAGGCTTTACTAGCTTGAGCTAATTGAAGTCTAAAAAGACGCCCATTGACGCTAAGTAGCCTCATAATAGAAATGCATCTCAGGCTGAGAGGTTGTAGACAATCTGCAGGATAAGATGGAGACTTTTTATCTTGAGTAAGGTAAAGAATTAACTGTCAACCCAGCACTGGGACGATACTTGGAGAACAGTTGAGCTGTCCTGGTGAGGGTTTCATCTTCCGTATCTTTAGTTGGATGGGAAATAAAAGGAAGTTTGCGTCGAGTTTTACATTTTTCTATTATCACACATTTTGTTTCAGTAGGATGCCATCCATTGAGCCTGCAGAAGTCGTCTTGGGTATTTCTGAATTGTGTTGTGTACACGTGTGTTTGGGAGCTCCAACAGCTCTTCTTACAGCATTTAGTTGTTTGCTTCACTGTTAAGACAAAATATTAACATGTATCCTTTCCATAGTCCCTGCCATTAGGCCCCTTCAGATCCAAAATCCTCTCAAAAATCTGGTTTTAAGATTTGGGAGACGATATCTAAAAACAAAAAAATCTCACAGTCGCATGCCTCAATGACATGGTGGTTAAGGCGGCTGGCTCCCACATGGCCCACTGCATGCTTCTAGTCCCAGACGTGGCCATTTAACATTCTGAGCATGTGTCCCCAAAGGAGTGAGAAATGGAGGATGTGTGACATGACTGTGCTCCATGTGGGGTTGCTTTCTCACTCTCCCTTCCTCTGTCTCTGGGGAATGCATATACCACACACATCCTAGCAAATTAAAAAAACAAAAAACAAAAATAAAAAACACCTGCTCCTTAAGCATAAGCATGGGCTTTGCTGTAACTTCCCCATAGCACTCTGATTCCACTTCAAGTAACTGGCCTGTGAATTCTATTCCTATTAGACGAAGAGACTGAGGAAAGGAGGTGCATATGTTTACCCTTTTCCTAGGATAGTCTTCATTTTCAAATTTAGTTCTGTTGCACAATAAAATCTCACTGTTCCCTATGTCTTTCCCAAATCTTGACAAATAGCAGAGTCCTCTTATTAGAGCTCTTCGTGCTTCTCAGAGCTGCTTGTGTGCTATGTGGACTCCAATTGGAGTGATGTCAGCAGGGAGAGGACTCAGGTAAACTCTAAGGCACTTTCCTCTACATCCAATGGCAGGTTGTCCCTCCAGCACTCTCCAGAGCAGATGACCTCACACATCCAGGCTCCTTGTTCAGACAGTTTGTCAACGAAGAAGACGACACTTCTGCGCCTTCATTATTCAAACTTGGCTGGCTCTCCAGTATGACTAAATAATGTGGGAACATAGCTATTTCTCTCCAATAAATACCACTGCGTTGTTTCTCCTTGGGGGCTTCTGTTCCTTTGTTTCTAAGCCACACCTGTCTTTCCAGTTGCACTGCTGGAATGTGTCCCTAGTGACTGTTGGAGGTTTCTCTGTATGTAAAATGAATACCTGTCCAAGTGTCAACACCACGGGTGGAATTATCAATGAGCTATTATAGGCTGCTGAAGTAGCAAGTCTGTAGGATGAGAAGTCGTATTTCCTTCAGAGTTATGCAGTGTTTTCTACTGAAGTCTGAGGTGCAGACTGGGAAGGAATGTCGATACAGAAGTTTTTTTGAGAATACCAGAGTCTGAAAGACATTCACCCTGGAAATACAATTATATAACAAAGAACAGAGTCTGTTATCAAGAAGGGTGCTTCGCTTAACACAGTCTAATTGGATCTGATTGTTCTCCTGTAACAAAGGAGAAGGAACCTTCAAAACATCATCTACATACTAAGAGGTAGTATGGTAGTTAATTTCAGTTCAAGACTGATTCAAACTATATTTTGGAAAAAAGCTTAGGGTTTTTTTTTTTTTTCATGGAAACTAGATACTCTTTACTACTTTATTGAATTTTAAAAAATTGAAGATCCCGCATTTTTAAAAGGCCTTTTTACATAAAGTAGATTTTTCTAGTTGACAGATTGGGAAACCAGTCTGAATGGGACACACTATGGATTCAACACGCAGATGGGATTTCCTCACACCACTACCTTGACATGGATTTGACTCCCTCCCTTAAAAGAATCCTATAAAAAATTGCTTCAAAGCCCCTTTGAAATCGCAATAGTGCAGCAAAACCACAAGTAAACAACCGCCTGTTAAGCTGTTATTCCAAATATAGACTGAAAAGCCAACAGGCATTTTTTTTGTGCAATTTTTTTAAACAAATTGTAAGTTGAAATATCAAATCTGCACAGCGCTGTCTGTCCCTTCACAGAAGGCAAGAAACTGCCAGTCCATCATGTCGGAGGCCGTCCTCGGTGCTGTAGGCTGTGGAAATGGGCCTCCTTCAGGGTCTGGTTGATGTGGAAGTAAGGGCCTTGGCACAGTGCAGACTGCTCGGGCATGGGCTGAGGGGTGTTGGGACTGGATCCTGCCATGATCTGGCTGAGGTTGCTTTCTGGCCCGCTGGCCCTGTCAGGGCTATTGATGCTGCTGCTGCTGCTGCTCCCACCACTATCACTGCTTGAAGACTGGAAGGAAAAGAGAAGCAGGGTTACGACCACGCTTTCTGTTTAATATTAGAGCTTTACTACGGTTAATGTACAGCACCCTGAAATTCAGCTTCAGCAAAAGAATACACACACTAGGCTTTGTAGTTTACCACGTGCACATACCTAAGGCACTTCATTGTGTCCTGTCTACTTGGGTAGGATTTACCCTCATCACACAGCCCAGGAGGTGTGTAAGTCCAGATTCAACCACAGGCCCTTCTGACTCCATATCCCTCCAACTACATCTTGATTCCTTTATGTACCTTCTCTATCAGCTTTTACCATTATTGTAATAGTTTCCAATAATCAAAGGAAGTTTGTGGCCTCCAAGGCAAAGTATCAACCATTGGTACAGAGTATGAAGAAAGTATCCCCATAACAAATACGGCTTTTAGTACAAGCCAAGACTAAACACTTAAAAACCTATGCCTATGTGGGGGCCAGCAGGTGGTGTGGTTGAGGGCGTTGGACTCCCATATGGCTGACCGTGGTTCGAGTCCCAGACCTAGCAGCTGGCTCTCAGTTTCTCTCTCCCTCACACACTCTGTCCCTCTCTGGTCAAGTTAAAATAAATAAAATAATGATAAACAACCTATGCCCATTTTGTAATCATTGTGAACAGAAAATGGTATTCTGAAAATGCAGGACACATATACTGAAAGGATTCTGATACGCTTCTTATAAAGTTAACTTATGTTGGCATTTTTGCAGATCACCATACATACGTGTGCATGTGTGTGCATGTGTATGCACTGAATGTGCCTAATTTTCCTTTAATATAACTATTGTGACTTGGTGTTTTAGTCACCTTCAAGATGAAGAAGTTACTCGGAGATCCATTTTATAAGTCACTTTCATCAATTCATGCCAACACTAGGATTCTCAAAAGGGAAGGTCATGCTAATAATTCATTTCAGAGTTATGGTATTTTACAATTGTGATACTACATTTCTAGTAACTGACAACCCTGACTCCTGACGACTTCTGTGCCTTTCTGTGTGCAACTCAGTACTGTACTAAAAGGAAAGTTAGAAATAATTATCTCAATTTTTAAAAATTTATCCTTTTGATCCAGATTTATGTTCCCTTAGACAAAGATGTTGGTTCTGAAATACATTCTTACAATGATGTAAATTTTATACAAAAGAACAGACTGAAAAGAAACAGACCACAGTAGTTATGTTAAAATTGAAAGATTATAATTGCTTATTTTTTTCTACCCTTTCCCTTTACTGTAACTTTTTGGAATTTGGTTATTATGTATTTTCATTACAAAAATAAATATATAAATAAAATGTTGTTTCCAGATAAATACTCGCAGAGTAAGTTTTAAAATCATAGTCCTATCCATTTTCTGACGATAAGTTACAGCTAGCAATGAGCAGACAGGTAACCTATCTGAAACAGTGAATAAAGCAACATTCACCAAGCACCCATCATTAATAAGACTGAAACCAAGACTTGCCTTGGTCCACAGGTCCTTTGGAGCTACTTAACACTGGCCACTTACCCACTACCTGTATATAGCAGGAGACAATCTATCTTTCTAGAATAATAATAAAAACCATGAAAGGATTATAATGGGCTAAGTAAGACAGCAGGGTTAGCAGCAACTATTAAATTTACTTACAAGATGTAAAGATCTTTCCTAACCTACTGTGACAATCTAGAAGGGCCCCATACACCTCATGAGGTCACAAATATTTGACAAGTAGGTCACTACGCTGGATAAGAAACCCACCGCGCAGAACACTTTGCTTCCTCTTAGTCTGTTTTCTTTACTGTTTTTCGTTACGGGTACTGTCTGAAAATCAAGGCAAGAACTACAGTCAGTTTCTAGTAAGTCAAGTTTCCATCTCAGATTATATCTGTTTAATACTATCATAGATGATATACTATTTGGAGAAAAGGTAAAAATTCTTTAAAATAAACAGGTTAGAAAAGATTTCTGTACAGTAACTTTTAAAAAGAATATGTATACTTGCGATTTCTAGTTCATTTTAAAGATCTTGTTACTCAGCTTTAACAATGATAGAGATCTATATACACTAAGAATTAAGTCTTTAACATCTTTTTTAGTTTATACTAAAATGGTACCAAAGGACTTCAAAAATAAGTGGAAGATGGAATTAAGGTATGTGATACAAAAAAAAATTGAAATCCATGCTATTTTGATAATATACACTTTATATTAACTTTCTGAAGGCCCCATGTATGTTAACGTTTTGAAAGTATTAAAACAACACAAAATGCATTCACTGGGTTCTAGAAGGGTTCTTTAATTAGTCTGGAAATATTACTGGTCTGTTCATCACAAATGAATACAAATGAAGCAGCTCTTCAGGGGTTAAGCAGTTACAGAGTTTGTAAAGCATTCTTCCTAAAATCTATCAACAGTATCAATGTTTTATTAAATCCTGTCTTAATTTTAGAAGTAACTCAAGATCTTACTCTGTTTTATATAGCATTCTTTTTCTAATGAGACTGCATGGACAAGAGGGAGGGAGAGAAGGATAAGCAATGCTGACAGGAATCATCACACTGCAATCCCTTCCAGCCTGTCAGGATTTCAGGTGCCCACAGATGTGCCCAGTAAGTTTCTAGGCACCTGGGATCCAACCCATGTCAGCAGTGTGGCTTCTAGTACTGCAGTCCAGTACCCAATAGACTGTGCCACTTAGCTGGGCTTGTAGTAACATTCTTTAGTTTACTCACTCATAATTTTTTTCCTCAAAAGAAAGATATTTTGTAAGACCTTTAGAAAATATATTAAAAATATAAGATCTAAATTCTGAACATTTTTATGGCCAAAGGACATACATGTCCACTAGAGCGAGAGAGAACGCTCTAATAGGGCATGGTCACATTACAATCTCTTTTCCTCTATTTCTCTATTCTGTCAGGATTTGGGACACACATACACGTACTTGATGTGTTCTTCAAGCCACCAGAGCCAGGATTCGAACCATGGGCAGACATATGGGATGCAGCTCCCTATGCATAGCAGTTAATCACCACACTACAGGGTCGGCCCCTGAATGTTCTATCACATATATCCTTCCATACTATTTTCAGTATGGAACATGTGGAGCCTTCAAAAAGCTCATGGAAAAATGGAAATACTTTTTGGTGCAAAAAAAAAAAAATTAAAATCCATGTGTAGTTTTTGTCATACATTTCCATGAACTTTATAGCTCTTTAAAGATGTGTTGGTTCCTATTTTCTGCCAATTGTCTTTTCACTATCGAGAATGATTAAAGAGTAGCTCACAATCTATAGATGGATCAGGATTTTTCACATTTTGGGTGAAACTCATTGGTTTTAAATGTGAAACATTAGGGAACCAGCAGTTGGCGTAATGGCTGTGTCGCTGGACTCCCACGTAGTCGACCGCGGTTCGTGTCCCGGACCCGGTGGCTTAAAACTCACGCCGGGCGCGTGTGCGTGCGTGCCCAAGATCCCAAGAGGAGAATGGAGAAGGGATTGCGGCGTGACCATCCCCCCTGGGGGGTGATTTCTCGCTTTCTGTCTCTATGTCTCTGTCTGTCTGGCGAGCGCACGCGCCCTACAGTGAAAATCTCTCCAAATTAAAAAAAAAAAAAAAAAGTGAAACATTAAAAAAAAAAATACAAAACAGGTGGGTTAACCCCATATTTTGGTGCTTAGGCTGGATCCCACAAGGCTGACTGTGGTTTGAAAAACACACCACACATGTGCGTGTGTGCCCCAAATCCCAACAGGGTGGAGAAATAGAGGGAAGGGATTTTGGTGTGATTATGTTCTACTGGGGAGTGCTTTCTGTCTCCTCTGGCCAGGAGGAGTTAAATTCAAAGAAAGAAAGAAACACGGTTAAGGACAATTGTCCTATGAAGCTTTTTTTCAATTATTCACCAATGTATTTGGTTTGTACTAAATCACAAAATAAAGCTTATTTCTGTGGGAGAGGGTCAAAAACTCTGAAAGCTATTATAATCAATCTCATCACTGTCAGCCATCAAAGTAATCTGCTTTATGAAACATAAGACATTTAGCCCTAAGCACAAACACACAAAAAATACCATTTTGAGTCTCTCTCAATACCTTAAGATTATACAGATGTTATTTTTGTCTGCTAACAACAAAAACCTTAAATAGGAAGAAAACTCTATTTCCTCCACTTGGTGAAGCTTTTTAATAATTTAAGATAGCTTGAGGAAAAAAGCCACTAACCGATGGTGCATGATTCTGAAAATTGAAACTGTTAGCAGAGTATAGATGTGTTTACCTTGTTATAGCTGTTCCTGAAAAGACAGTGAGTGCTTTTACCCAAACAAAAATGAGAACTCAAAGACTTTAGGATGAAGAAAGACTCAACTAACAAGAATTCTTTCCCCATGATCCTGACTCCTTCCAGGGACTCCCCATCAGACAATGGATCCAACTCATCGGGTACAAAGCTCATTTTCTTTTCTCTGAATTTCCCATCTAGGCTTAGTGCTGGTGACTAACCAGGGTGTTTTTGGGACAAATCTGCATTATCAATCAAAAGAGAGTAAGACCACAACCTGTAAAATAAAATCTCAGTGCTAATTTATGAGCATAAGCAAAATAAAGTTAAATTTATGAACACTTTGGCCACAAATCTCTACACAATACACAAGACAACTCAAAGTCCAGCTTTGAAGATCCATGTGAAAAGGGAAGGCTTGAACTTAGTTTAAGCAGTACAACCAATCTTTCATTACTTCAGTAACTTCAGACACCAGGGTAAGACCTAGAATCAAATCGTCACCACAGTCTATTCTGGAAGTACCCATGAGCCTTTGAAAACATGCACATGCCAGGCCCCACCGTACAGCTGTGCCTGGCAAGCAGCAGGGCAGGGGTTGTTCTAAAGGCCAACCACTGTGCAAACATGTCTGTGTGCCTACTGTGTACACAGGTGGCATTTTGCTAAGGTAGCTTACTCATCCCGTAAATGTTTACCAAGCTCAATCAGGAGGGACATGGTGGCAACACGGTCACTACCAGCAACAGGGCACAGCTCTGTAGTGAAGACCTCTTCATGCTGCTGGAAGACCAGAGGAAGTTCCCTACCAGGACTAGTGTCTCAGTTAAGCCTAAAAAATGTGGAAGGGTTTTTAATAGGAGAGGATGACAAACTAGAAGAACAAGAGCAAGCTCATGAAAGAAGGGAGTGTCTGGGGAAGGAAAACTAAGAGTGAAGTGTAGACAGGCCCACAGCAGAAGCCAGTGAGGCAAAACAGACACGAGGGGCGCGGCTGGATTACCAAGAGTGTGACATCCGTAGGGACAGGTGCTGAGCACAGAAGAGCTGCTTGGATCTACAATTAGGACTAGGCAGGATCCAGGGTGCTGTGTGAGATGAATGGGGCTAGGGGAGCCTGAGAGCAGAGGTCCATCCAACAGGAGGTTTCCTAACAGCCAGGTGGAAGCAACTCTGGAAGGAGACAGAGGAGACATTGGAGGAGACACTGAAGTGATTCGGAATACTCAGAACCACACCTGGCAAACAGCTGGTGCCCAGTCAATGTTTGGTGAATGGAAACTCTGCTAAGTGAGCCTTGTGAGAAGTTCTAGCAGAGCCCAGGAGGAAGCCAGGTTTCTGAGGGAAAGAAGGGAAGATAAATTTGATGAGAAAGTACCAGCAATATCTACAGATAAAGGGTGTCTGGTAGTAACTAGGAGTGAGAGAGTCCACAGGAAGCTGGAGGAAACAAGGCAGCAGGAGATCAGTCAGGAAGGGAAGGTTCTATTAGTACCTCGGGAGAGAACCAGTGGGTAAGAACTTGGGGCATGAAAACAAAGGAGAAATGCTAAAAAAGTCTCAGCAGCCATGACAGTATGTACAGCAGAAAGGCTAAGGGACACTCCATTCTCTCTGGCAGAAGAGAAACATACATATATATATATACGTTAGGCCTACCCTTAATTTTAAATGTAAAGCTACTGAAAGCTTTAAAATACCATTTTTAAAAATTAAGCAAAACGTCCAAATTCAAGCTATTAAGAAAAGATCACCTAAGGCCAGCAGGTGGCATAGTGATTAAAGCGCCAGATTCCCACATGGTCAACCACCATTTGAGTCCCAGACCCATTGGCTTGAAAATCATGCCAGGGGTGTGCATGCCCAAAACCCTGAGAGAAGAATGGAGAAGGGATTATGGCTTGGCCATCCCCCCTTGGGAGTGATTTCTTTCCTGCTGTCTCTCTAGCAAGCACATGTGCCCTATGGTAAAAACCTAAAAAATAAATAAATAAAAATTCATTAAAAGATACACAGATCCCCTGGCTCTATTATTTTTTTTAGTCATGCCTCTGCCCTCTTGCTAAGAACACTCTTGAGACTTTAGTATTATCAACATCAAAAATGTTTGCTTAAAGAAAAAGTTCCCTTTTAGTAGAGACAAGAAAAGAAAGAAACTACTCCAAAGCCACTTGCTGTTTTATCTTCACATTCTTCATTCTCTATTTGATGGTACTTTACAGTGATCTGAAAAATCCAGGACATGAAGTCAGCTCAAAAGAACACATTTACATGCTTGGCCGAAACTAAACAATCCTAATGACTATTTCTGTGAATAATCTGTAGGAAGCCCCCAGGCAGGGAGCTTCTGTGTCTCTCTGCTTCACTGAAAATAGAACTAAACAAGTATATTATCTACAACTATACACCTTGTCTTCTTTATTAGAAAATTAGATCAACATAGTTTTTTCTTTCAAGCCCTAGCTTCCTCTCACCTCCATATCCCCATTTATTGGAGTTTTAAATTTACGTGACCTTCAGAAAGAAAAAGAAATCTA